GCCACAATTACTTACCCCATACACTACCCCCCCCCCCCCCATACCCCTAACCTATACCTTATACCCAACCCCAAATCCCTCCCACCATACCTCTCACCCCTCCCCCATACTCTGCTCAAACCCAAATCCCTCACCCCTCCCCCATACTCTGCTTAACGACGTGACCAAACCAGTAACTTCAAATAAAAAAAGTAGCCTTCAATGATTTCTCATGTCTACTAAAATGGGATTTGTGAAACGCAGGAATGCGCTTTTACTCTTAGACCTGCTCCATAACTCAATTCTCGGGTCTGACAATGAAGTGGTTAACATCAACAGATACGTGCACCTGTACATTTTAGGATACAGAGAGAGAGAGAGAGAGGGGGGGGGGGGGAGAGAGAGAGAGAGAGAGAGAGAGAGAGAGAGAGAGAGAGAGAGAGAGAGAGAGAGAGAGAGAGAGAGAGAGAGAGAGAGAGAGAGAGAGAGAGAGAGAGAGAGATTTTTTGTCCGAAAACAATGTACTGTTTATGTCTTGTCATTAATTGTATTTGCAAAACACCCAGAGCCTGTGTTCTTTAATCGAAGTTTGAGCGCTATAGAAAGGTCATATAATTATTATTACAATGTTAAATAAATGTCCTGCAAGCTCTGCGCTGGCCAATCTGGGTAACTTTGGTGGCCGACGGGGAACACCTGGGTATGTGACAGCTGTTATTTTAAAGGCCGGCACTATTTCTCCGAACGTTCAGGAAAATAAAGCTAAGCACTATTTCTCCGAACGTTCGGGAAAATAAAGCTAGGCACTATTTCTCCGAACGTGTGGGAAAATAAAGCTGGACACTATTTCTCCGAACACTCTGAAATCACATCCTTTCCTGCAAATTTCGGAGATCTATAATTATAGTATAGGCCTACCAAAGATTGTTCGTATACAATGTGGTTCAATCGGTCCAAAAATTGTCCGCAGTAAATATTTATATAAAGAAATGCTACAGTTCCAAACAGTTTTTCGCTAGAGATATGACGTGTTGCCTATGAAGGGTGCTGCTCTTAAACTTAAACTTAATGTGTTGTGTTCCTTCGTGTGCTGTCTAGATCTAGATCTAGATCTACGGAGGGTTATAAATAACGACACATAGAACTAGCATCTGCGTTTGTCGCGGCCGCGACCAATCAATCGTGGCTCGATTTGTTGGCATTTTTTGGTCCCCGAATCGGGAAATAAAATTCAAATAAAAAAAATTAAAAAATAGAAAAAAAGAAAGAAACCGAACCTTTTACTTTTGAAAGAAAGTTCACCTAGTTTCACTTCGTCTCTTTCTCACTTGTTGTCACCACGTTGATTTGTTGAATACGTTACATGCAGCTACTTTTATTTTTCCCTCTTTGTGGTGTTTTATTCTGTTAGTGTGTATTTTGTTCTTTCTTGTTATTGTTCTGATGTGTTGTTTTTCTATCAATTTTATTTTTTGTTGGGGGTAAAAAAAGGGGGCGGGGCGTTGTATAGTGTAAGTGTAACGTCATTTAATTTGATGTTTCTACCTTCATTAGATTCTAAATATATATACATGTGTATATATAGATTTAAATGTGTTATGTTAGAGCGTACGTTCCACCAAAACCGATTACATTTACTGACACTGGCAGGCCCCTTAATGTGTGTGATTCCGTAATTTACATGTAATATCCTGTACTTTGTTTTAAAATTACGCACATTTAGGGTTAAAACAGCCAATCTTCTTCGGACAGGTGGACTCACGCCCTTATTTGTTAATTTTTGTGGTTGTCTATGGGCTGTTCTAATTTTGATTTCATTCGGTTGTGAAACCTTTAGACTATTTTCACGTTTTTACACTCATCTAAAAATCTCTAGACTAGCTCTTGAAAAGTGAAATAGATATAGACCTAAAATTTGCTACTGTGTGTGTGTGTGTGTGTGTGTGTGTGTGTGTGTGTGTGTGTGTGTGTGTGTGTGTGTATGCATGTGCGTGTGTGAGTGTGTCTGTGTGTGGTAGTAAGTGTGTAAGTGGAGAGTGTGTGTGTGTTTGTTTTTCGGGCTTTATTTCAGCCTTTATTCAGTAACAGTTCAAAGTATACAAAAATAGAAACACAGGATCCATTCACTCCAAGGCTCATGAGTCGTTCCTGTCTGTCAGTTTCACTCCTTCATTCAAGTCCCGTGTTCTCTACCATGGCTCATCCCCGTCCGCATGACTTTCACACCCCACCCCCTCCCTCCAGGCACACACAAAGAAAATCTCACTCATTCCCTTGCACCCTGAGAACCATGGACAATAATATTAGCAAAACACTGCATAAGCCGCATTCCTTTCGTTCGTGAGCTGTGGACCAGACCAGGGGGGTCGGTGTCGTCGCCTTGTACTTGCAGTTGCTGTCGCCTGTGGATACGCTTGTACATTCTTCCTTTCACCTGCTCTGTCACTCACCACACTGTCTCTCCATCCACAGCTCAGCTCGTCATACGTTAAAAAGTTGCCCACTGATCATGTTTAGTTAGTGTGTGTATAAGTTTGTGTGAGTACATGTGCATGATGGTGGTGGGTGCGTGGTGGGTGTTACAGAAGGTTGTCTGTAGGCGGGCTTGCCATGCTGTGTTCCTTCCCAGACCAGAGGCAGTCGAATGAAAATTGGCGCCGAACTCTCGCAATAAATATAGGCAAAAAATCACGAGACCGGAAGCCGGAAACTGTTCGGAGAAATAAAGATCTCGCTCTATGTACCGTCTCTGGCCTCGCTTGTATACATCAGAGAGTTTACAGTAACACTTACTGTTAACCCTCTGTGGTATACATGCAGGTGGGCTTTACGGAATTTGGTGAAAGCGGGCGTTGGCTATACAAAGAAAATGGTTGACAAGCACGAATTTGTAATCCAAAACGGATAATTATTATTCATTCCCGGCCTTGAGTGTGAGCTGTAAGGTTTTAAAGCCACACGAGTATTTTTAAGCAAGACCCAACTTGGTTTCTTAACCCCTATTTCAAAGGATTGCGAAAATGGCACTGACATGGGGGCAGGGGCGAAGGCTGACTTGTTTGACAGGGTAATCAAAGTGAAATGGGAACAGATAGGGCCTGTAGATATCACACAAGAATCTTACTCGAGGCGGCGACTCTGAGATGTGAATGAAAACAAATCCGGAATTCATATTGTATGTTCAACCGCCAAAATAATCCGGAAAGTATCTCATTAAATATCAGTTCCCACTAAAATTAAACTTAACTTTAGATGTGAATACATAAACATAAAGCAAAGAAGCAGAGATGTCAGTACTAGATCTATATGTTATAGATTTACCAGTGAGTCTAACTCTTTGGTAGAACATGACAATTATTATTTTTTAAATTTCGCATTTGGCTGTTTTTTGTTAGCCTTTCGCGGCCAGGAGCTGGTGTCATAATCGAGGTCACGATCTGATTATAGGACGGTAAAAAGTCGAGGAAAAAAAACAAGCACAAGCAGCAGTCAAGAGATTATTAAGAGTTAGTTCCCCTCACATTTGTGAGGTAGACTCGACCAGTGTTAGTTAGCTTACTTAATCAGGGCTGGTGATTGATTTTAACTGTGGCCCCAAAAGGGTGAACAGGGTATATGTGGCAATGAAACAGCTTTGACTGCCATGCACATGTTCCCTTCAACTCTATTCCAGCCTCACTTTATTTGTTGATTACGAACGTCTTTTGACATTTAATTTATGAGGTTTACGTTTAAGGATGAATTTGACAGCGACTATGTTTCAAAATTAGAAAGGGAAGCAGTGATTATTTGATTATATAGACGCTTCGCCCCTGCATGGGGGTTGATGAAATAATTGAATACCGTCAATAATTTATAAAATGGTATACAGGGACGAAGGCTGACTTGTTTGACAGGGTAGATCTAATCAAAGTGAGATGAGACCAGAAAGGGCAGGGAGATATCACACTCACACAAGATTCACAAGAATCTTACTGGAGGCGGCAACAATGAAAACAAATCCGGAATTCATGTTGTATGCATATTCAACCGCTAAGATAATCGGGAAAGTATTTCATTAAATATTTATTCTAACTAACCTTAAATTTAACTTTAGATCTGAATACACAAACACCAAAGAAAGAGGCAGAGATGTCAGCACTACATGACAATGACATGTTATACCAGACGGTCTAAACACTTTGGTAGAGCATGCCAATTATCAATTGTTCACATTTGGCTGTTGTTGTTTTTTTTGTCAAGAGGAAAAAAACAACAACCAAGCACTCGGAGCAGTCAAGATATTATTAGGAGTTAGTTCCCCTCACATCTGTGAGGTAGACTCGACCAGTGTAATAGTTAGCTTACATAATCAGCGCGTGAGGGTGTTTATAACTGTGGCTCGAAAGGGGTGAACAGGGAATATAATGTGGCAATGAAACAGTTTTGACTGCTATGCACATGTTCCCTTCAACTCTATTGGTAGACTCTTCCAACGTCACTTTTTAGCTTACTTAAACAAAGCTTGTGACTGCTTATGGAGTGGCCAGATAGGGGCGAACATAGGCTATTTCTGTGGCAATGAAATGGTTTTGAAGGTTAGGCATAGTCTATTGTTCATTGGTGATTATGAACGCCTTTTTACATTTATTTTATGAGGTTTCCGTCTATAGGTGAATTTGACTGCGACAATGTTTCAAAATTAAGAAGCAAAGCAGTGATTATTTGATTATATAGACGCTACGCCACTGATGGTATAGGTTTATCGCTTCTTGTAACACTTTAAACCCTATCCGTACGCCCTGGGGCCATTTTGTACCCTGGGGTTGTATTCTTCACATTTTAAAATACTTCTAGTACGGTACAGAGATCTCTTTGAAATTTTCAGTATTTCTCAAAAAACATTTTGACAGACTTCTATACAAAGCGTACGGATCGGATTAACGAGTAAATTTCCTCTTTGGAAAGTGGATGCATTGGGTTCCCCACGTTGTAAAGAGGCGTTAGTAAAACACGACGGACGGAAAGGGTTAAGATTATTATAATGAGGCGGGACCTCCGAGTTTAACGGCCATGTCCGAAAGGACCGAGCCAAATGCAAAATTCGTATACAGTGCATTTAATAAGGACACAACGTCGGGCCAATCTGAGGCTAGAACTCCCGAACCCGCAATCTCACGATTACGTATCCGGTAGCCTAACTTCTAGACTACTGACGACACCCCTTCAATAATTAATGACAATTAATTGAGCCAGAAAGGGGAACATTGGAGATTTAAAAAAACATCCCCTGCCTCCACTGCAACAGACCTTCCCGAGCGAAGATCGGCCTGATCAGCCATCTCCGCACACACCCCACCCCTCCATGTGATGTGAAGTCAAGGTCATCTTCGCCAGCGAAGGACGAACAACCCTCCTCCTCACCCCCTTACACACACACACACACACACACACACACACACACACACACACACACACACACACACACACACACCAAGCACCAACCATGTCGAGTGCACTAGAAGTAGAAGTGTTTTATCAGTGTTAGTTACCCAGAAGCTTAGGAGATGTTTTGGAAAACGTCGCCCAGCTGAATAGATAATTTCACGGTAAGGTGCGCCATCTTGCCCAGGGGTATTGAGGGTTACACCCGTGCATCTCTGTTTACATCCGGTTTTCGGCTAATTGGCCCTAGGGATAGTCGATTACTGAGATTTTGTGATCGATACTGAAACCGATACTCGAACGAGCGTATTAGATTTAGACCTAATACACAATAGGCCGGTACAGTAGGCCTCTGCTCTATGTAACTGAATTTGTTAAGAAACAAAAACATCTCCAATTAAGAAAATTTGGTTCGTCTTCCTCGTAAATAGAAATGATATGAAATGCTAACAAGTTGTATTCACAGGTGTTTTCGAGTACAAGGGTATCGACTTTGCTCATAATGTACGATCTTTGACTGTGTGACTACTAAGTCAAGTGACTAGCCCTAGGCCTCATGTGTTTATGTTTTGTTAGCCTATCCAGTCTTCGTTCCGAGCTCTAGAGATCTAATTTTTGATAATTTAAATCTTGCTGACAGTTTTTGAATAAAGATCTAACATGGAAGATTCTGGTGATGATGATGGAACAAACCAGTTCACTCAAATGACAAAAACACAACTGGTGGATTATCTTGGAGCAAGAGGACTGAGCACCACAGGAACAAAACTTGCTCTCATAGGTCGGGCCTTTGTGGCGTGGGAAACTGGCGTGACGGTAAAGTCTTCAACAGAAACGTTTCAAAATCAGTTGAAAGAAGACTACAAGACAACCCTCAAGAAATTTAGTATTCCAGACCCAGTTTCATTGCCTCCTGATAGTTGGTCTGAAAAAGTTACGAAATGGCCACCGGTGGACATGGGAAAAATCTTCATGTACCTTCTTAGTACAAGTGAGTACAACAGAGACTATATAGGGAAGTACAAGACACAAAAGGCCTATTCCTATTTTGCCAGTAAGTTTGTTGGTACCATTCTGTGGGCACAAGTGCCAGATGACTGCGACAGATGTTTCCTGACATCGGAGGTAACACCGTCACAAAGCGTCAGAGGTGACACCCACAAACAGTGGATCTTGTTGCGAAACACAGGAGAAATCCTGACGTCGATGTGCAGCTGCACTGCTGGCATGTGCAGTACATGCAACCACGTTATTGCTGTGCTGTACAAAGTGGAGTTCGCTATCAGTAACCATCTGAACTCTGAATCCTGCACAGAGACAAGCTGTGCGTGGAATAAATGTACTAAGAAAACTGTTGAGCCGAAAAGAGTCGAGGAAATGGAACTGAAGCAGCGTACATCGCTTTCTCTTGTTACCTGATTAAAAGCTAATGGAATAGGTGTTTGCTGGTCTTCACATTTATTGGCTTCCTCATCTTCAGGGTTTATTTTCCGTTTTTTGCTTGACGATGGGGTTTCATTTCTTGTGGGCGCTGTTCGTTTTTGCGGCGATCTGACATTGTAGTCACTTGGGGTGAGGAAAAGAATGGGAATAGGATTTGATGGCGTGGGACGCCCTTCTGTGAAGTGATTAGAGCACACTTTCATTGTAATTGTCATTTTGAAGTCTGCTCGTCCTTTCTGTATCTGCCTCTCCCATAATTTCCTTTTCTCCTCGTTTGAAACTCCAAACCATTGCATTTCAGTCACATGGGATCTCTTTTTAATCAATTGGGGTCTACTTCTTGTGTTACTGCATGAACCAACACAACAATGGTCGTACTTCCCCATCTTGCTACTAGACTAATGTTTCTAGAATCTAGATCTAAATCTAGTTTAAAATCTAAAATTCAATGAAAGAAACATATATAGAACTAAGAAAGATTAGTCCTACATGATGGTATATCGCTAGATCTAGATCTATTAAATTACCAGAAATGTAGATTCCACAAAACAATGATTTCCTCACTGTTAGTCTAAAAAAATAATAACGAATGCCAATTCCATTTCACAAAATTACACTTATATAAAAACACACAGTACAGTCACATGATTAGTAGATCTTGGCCTGCGTGAGGCAAAGAGGGCAGCTGACAAAACACACTTTCAAAGGCAAACAACACACTTTCAAGGCAGTTTTTGCGTTTCTTATGCCTAACAACTGATACTAAAATGAGATTGTGCGTACGTTTGACTAGATCTAGACGTTAGATTGAATTTAGGCCCCGATTTAGTGTCCATGTGCCAACTGCCCAAGGCTGTTGACAATGTAAACAAAGGAGCATTGCAGACCGGAAGTAACCCTGAGTACCCCTGGACAGTATGGCGGACATTACCGTGAAGAGGTCTATTCTCTGACTTTCTGTTATCTCACCATGCAAAAAACTCACCTACATTTTCAGTCCCCTTGTGAATTTTTTCTCTCCCCCCCCCTCCCATATCACCGTTCTACTAAGATGATGATGATGATGATTGGTTTTTTGTTTTTTCCATAATGGGCTTGGTGGACTTCACGAAGAAGTCTTCGAGCGAGAGCGAGGCTGTTTATCGGCTCCGATTGTGAATATACTAGGAGGCTCCTCCACTCGTACAAAAAACTCCATTCGAATTGCCATTGTTCCTGGACCTTCAAACATGTTTGACATCCTCATTTTCATGGCTGCATCTTCGGCAAAGCGGGCTGAGGTCTTTATTTACAAAGTTCTTATACTTATACCATCTCAAGCTCCAATAACGGTCCGACCGCAGTCTCGCTAGCTCAACCTGGTCCCAGCAACATGTGATATTTTGTTCCTGTTTATTGGAGTATCCAGAATACACTTCTTCCAGGTGCTGGTACTTAACTCTGCACGGTGGGTCTCTGACTTCCCTCTTGATTATTGGAAAAAAACAACTCCTCTGTATGTTGTTGGTCGTCTGTCTCCTTCAATCTCCCTGGCTTCATTGGCAGCTTGGTCTTCTGCCTCATTTCCTTCAATTCCAACATGGCTTGGAATCTACTGGATTTTATTGTGGCTGTGGTTTCACTGATGATGATGATGATGATGATGATGATGATGATGATGATGATGATGATGATGATGATGATGATGATGATGAT